TTTTCGTGTCCATGGATATACGACCATTAATGACGAGTCAATCCTTCACGAGTGTTCGTAACTCAAGTTGGGTCAAATTACCATTTTACCCCTGAGTTACATCTTACTCCTTAAGCACCACTACTCCTCTAATGAAAAACCCGGTTATGGTCCAACCAATAACCGGAAGTCCCTCTCGGCCAATGAGAGGGTGGGGCCCCTTGTTCAAGTCCCGGAGTCAGCATTTTTAAGGGAACGCTCATCTACTCCCCTAAAGTCGGGGAGGAGTGAATTCCATCTTGTGAAGTTATTTTCCCAGCTCCTCACTCGGTCTCGTCCCCAAAATGGTAGGAATTTTGAGTCGTCGACTCGGGCCACTCTCACCCATACAGATCAGAAGACGAGCCCTCACGGGCAGGAGTCCATAACTCACTCAATATTGAGAATGAGTTGCCTGGTCATCTTAAGAAATAGCAACCTATTAGTTAACGGTGTTACATCTAAAGATTACCTATTTCGTGGTCCGGTCTTATACAAACTCATTGTATAGGATACCCCTGAAGGGATGTGAATCCCGGAGCGGAAACAGATTTTCGTTGCTGATTTTCGGGATACAAAATCGAGTTTTAAAGAAGAAAATACAGGGGAAATTCCATACCTTTGAAGAACGTTTCTTCAGTGAATTCCCCTCGAACACCACCACCGGATCTTCCTCGCTATCCTCTTGGGTCTCGGGATCGTACTTGTGGTAGCACCTTGATCGAAGAGAGGGAGAAATTGAGAGAATTTTGTGAGAAATCGTTGGGAGATCCTATTCTTTTCTGTTCTGTAAAACCTTTGTTTCACCTTCTCCAACAGTTAGAGAAGAAGAAGAAAGGTGACGTCGGGTAACTCCCCACGTCACAACACCTCCCACTCCCCTGCAATTTTGCAGGGGAGTTAATATTAATAATAATATTAATATATATATATAATATATAATAATAATTAAAATATATATAATAATTAATATATATATAATTAATTAATCAAATTAATTAATATAATTAATTATTAATCCAATTAATAATTAATAAATATATATATACATAA